ACTGCTAGCGACCACCTACCCAACCCCAAGAACCACCACTAGTCAAATTGTAATCCAACTCCACCACCACCTCTCGACTAATGTTGCAGTCTTCACAAGAGTCCATCCAAAGCAACTGTAGCCACCAATGAAAGTAGTCAAAGCTCAACACCGCCATGGATGGATCTATAGTGGGGGCAGTATCCAGCCACTAAATTTTAAATCCAAAATTTTGCACAACATTTTTCAAAATTTTACGCAAGATTTGAATTAAAAAAAAAAAAACCTTAATAGTTTTCAATTTTTCTCTTACAATTAAATTTTTTTTTTTTTTTTTTCATATTTGCCCCCACAACTCAAAAATTCTACCTCAGTCCCTAAACACTGCAACCGCCAAGAATATACATGCACGCACACATACAAAATACAAACTTACCATTCTTGATTACTGAGTTTTTAGATCTAAAAATAGATATTGATCGGAGGAACGAGAAGAAATACCGATGGTAGCTTTTAATTGTGATAGTAGTGGTTGTTTTTGGAGAGAGATAATTTGGTGGTGGTTCAATTTGTATGTGTTAAATGATGGCGGTGTTTGTGTTTTCGTGTGTTTGTCTATGCAGTTATAAAAGAGAAATCACTATTCATTATAAAAAAAAAATAGCTGCTGTACATTTGGAGTGGAATAGTGTTGGGCTTAATTTTGAGGAAATTACATTCCAAATTAGCTATAAAGTTTAATTATTCACATATCAGGTATTAGTGTAATAATTAAATATTAAATATCTCAACCCAATTCAATTTCAAACCATAAAAAATATTTCATTGTATTTTCACTCTCCCCATCTTCTCACTTTCTTCATCTATCCACACCGTACTTAATCCAACGACGACGATGATACCAATTAAAAGGGTGGACTTCAACCAAAACGTAAAGGACCGAAACGCGATATGGTGAGTTATGTGGTGGCTGTTTCAATGGAGAACTCATGATCGATGACTGCTTCAATGGAGAACCTGCGATTTGCAAAGGTAATTCGTAGGTGTAATTGGGTGGCGATTGTCTGATTTTGTGAAGTTATGGTTTATGTAAAAGGGTCGATAGTATTGTTCTCGGTGTGCATCAAAATTATCATTACTGTTGCCACTGAATTACGACTAATTGACCGGCCCTACCGCAATGGGTGGAGGACCACCTCACATTGCCGAAGATGCCTACGACCCCGCACAGCGTCACTGTGGCGATAGGTCGCAAAATTTATTTTGGTTGGTTTTTTTATTATTTTGATTGTTGGCGATTTGTTTGGTCGTCAATGGTTGTGGTGGAATGATATAGTGGTGGTTGTTGGTAGCGGAAAATCGGATAAAAGTGGTTGTTGTGGTTTTTATTGGTAGTAGATTGGTTTTAGCGGTGTGTTTGGTTGTGCTTGTTTGGCGACGACGACGGTGCCAGTGGTGGTTGGTGGCTGTGCTACTGTGCAGGCGATGGTGGGTGGTAAGCATTTTTTGGTCGGTGCTTTGTTGGTGGTTGTGGTGGTGCCATGTAGGAGATGATGGTAGCTTTTGTTGGTAGTGGGGTGCAGGCGGCGATGGTGGTGGTTGTTTTTTGTTGTATTGGAAGTAGCGGAGGTGGTGTTTGTTTTGTTGATGCTGGTGGTGACGGTGCAGACGATAGTATAAGGTTGCGGTGGTGTGGGGCAAGTGGCGGTTGTGTGGTAGTGATTTGTGACCAAGATTGGTGCTAGATCGAGACCAGTGGTGGGACTGTTTGGTGCATATGACCAACTATTTAGATTAATTATTAATCTATGACTTTAAAATTCAATAATCTGTGACTAATAAATTTGAAACTATGCGACTCATAGATAAATTGTGACATATAATTTGAATGATTTGTGATCTCGAAATAATCTGCGACTTACAAATTTTTTTATTTGTGATCATGAAATAATCTGTGACCAATTAATTTGATGGTCGTGACCTGTAAATAAATCTGTGACCATTAATCATATAATTGCGACTTTATTAGATTTATTTAATAAATATATTTAATTAATTAAATAAATACCTGAATTTTAAATTTTCAAACTATCTATCTAATTTTTGAATTAGAGTGTGTTTGATTGACATGGAAAATATCGCCTAGAAGAGAAAATATTTTCCATCTTTTGTGGAAAATAAAAACCACCTCTACCCAAAGAAAATTAGGCATATTTTCAAAAGTTGGAAAATGTTTTCCATGGATAAAAATAGCAATCAAACACTCCAAGTAGAAATTTGGATGGAAATCTGACATTTTCCATGAAAAATAAATATAATCAAACACACCCTTAGTGTAAATAATAAACCTGGATTATGAATTTTTCCCCTTAATTTTCCCTATAATTTAGAAGAAAGGGTACTTAACGAACTGTACCGCTATTCTCTGAAATGGCAAAATGTTTCATGTATCACATTAACCCTAACAAATGTATAAGCCTCAGTTTGGCTTTGGAAACCAATTTTATAAATAATTTATAAAATTCACTTTATGTCAAACATTAATTTTAACGATACATTTATAACTATCACACATGTATTATTCACACATTTCGTGGGATCCATCGCTATTTTTTTTTTTTAAATCTATTTGTTTTTATAAATAGATTTAAAAAAAAATAAAAATTGTTAAAGGAAGTGTAAAAATTTCACCTGATGTCCACTTTTTCTCTTTCAGCTTTGTCCTCTCCGCCCCCCCACCCCACCCCACACACACACACACACACAAATCCAGGCATAATCGACTTAGTTACCTGATTAAACTTTAAGAATTCAAATACCTAGTTTTCCTTGTCCAGTTAGCATAAAAATTGTTTTCAAACGAACTTCCAGACTATGGTGTTAATTCGGTTTAATTATCAGTTGGCACGATCAAATGACTGAACAGTAAATTTAGCACCACAATTGAAATGATCCAACTTGAAGGTTAATTGAGCTATTTGAAACAACCTAAATCTCTTAGTATTGCTCATGGTCCAATCCATTTGCTTGGATGACCAAATTAGAGGTAGCCCATTTGTCTAGTGTTGGGCCCCTACTTGATCCATTATTTACCTTAAAACTACTTACCTTATGTAGCTACGTTACTTGATTAAATTGGGTCTCCTCTTCTTCTCTCAGTCCCAACCTGCGTGCACCTCTTTGTGAGAAAAATCGACTCTTCCCCTCTGCCAGTTTTTTCCTTCTCGTTACTTCTGCATTTGTGGTGATTGTCTTTGTGTTCTTGCCTATCTTTGTGGTCTCCTAAGTGGCAGTGGCTATCTCTTGGCAACCGTGAGTGGGAAGAGTTTTGAAATTTTTTGGTTGTGGTGTTGATAAAAAGAAGAGACTGAGCATGGATAAACGTCTTTGGTGGTCGATTATTACTTCACAGTAATAATAGATAAGTATCATGTAATGTAATATTATGTAACGTGCTTAAAGTGTTAGATTGAGTTTAAGAATTTTTTACTTTACCAGAAGCATTTGCAAGAGGATCTGCGATTGAATCACTTGCACATAATTAATATGGTGTTGTAGGAGTTGTGGCTAAACTCAAAACTACTTCCTATCCATGTAAGGCTATGCCAGTTGGGTTTATCCATATAGGATGACCTAGGACACCATTTTTAACATCTCTTACTTATAATGATAGATATGACCCAACCATATAACATTTAATCTTTTTCAAGGTCTATCTCTTGAAAAAATTCAAAAAGACAAATGGATCGAGCAACCAACAAGTTTAAATAACATTTCACAATACTATACAAATATGAAGAGAAACATCATATCATATTATACTTATATATTTTTCGACCGTAATTCAAATATTTTTGTTAACTTGAATAACAATGGGCCATTCTTAAAATTTAGGCAACTTTTGTACCAATAATTATATCTTAAACTCCAAATGATTGACAAAACTAGCCCACTAGTGGCTAGAAAAAATAGAAAAAGTGAAAAGCCTTCATTATTTTTCTTGAGTCCTTCACCTTTAAGCCAAATAGTGTTGTTTTTTTACTCATTCTTCAACTTTAAATTAGTTGTTTTCCTAAGAATGTCCCATTAAACCGATGTCATTAAAAATATGTCAAAGTACCAACACCCAATTTAAAACTTAAAAAAAAAAAAAAAAAAAAAAA